ACCAAAGCAGGGAACCACCACAGATCAGCTCCAAATTCCAGCAGATCCCTCGATGTGCACACTACTGCCTTGTTTCACCAACAATAAATGAAAGTAATATAGAAAACAAAAGAATCCTGTCTCAAACCAATTGGACTGCCAATGTATCCTGCCGACAACGCCAGAATGTAACCGCGGCCGCGCACACGGCCTAAAGTTTAGCTGTTCTACTGATCAAAGTTGCCCTCTGACTCAACTTGATCAAACAGCAAAAACTCCACAGATTCAATTTAAAGAAAACACGATACAGTTGGCAGTCAACAAAAAGGCCTAAGACAAGGATTTTCTCCCAAGAGTGTGACATTTATTATCATATAGACACATTTACAAACAATATTTTAACCAGTAAAAACAACAATTTATTAGGAATTCATCTACTATGCTATTTAAAATGGTATCCAGCGTATAAAAAGAGGACTAAATGAGCGCAGACAGTTGAGAGGGGGAAACAAGCAGATCAAATCTAAATACTCACCGACACTCACACGTGCCCTGTACAGCACAGCAACTGAAAAGAAAGTGATAAATTAAGGAAAGTGCCAAATTAACTAAACACACACACACACTTAAGGGGCAGTGAAGTGCACGTGAGGGCCTAACACCGCTGAATCCCTACTCCCAAGGCTGCCGCTCACGTCAGGGGTGCTGGATCCCTCAACAAAAGACACAAAGCACAATAGTACATAAATTCATTGAAATAGTAAAAAACACTAATACTCTTGGGAGATTAGGAATTGAAGCAACAATGTAAACAAAAGCATAAAAACGAACAACTATAACAAACCAAAATAAGGGAAACAGAATGGTAAAACAAAACAGCAGTGGCGGACAATCTATAAAAGAACAAAGCACATGCTACAGAAATGCTGCCATGATCGTAGTCTTTGTAAAAAACCATGATCGTACATACCTTATGTCCCTCGGACGGCGCAGCCACTCACACACACACAATACCGCCGGTCTTATCACCGTCACGGGCAAAGCTACAGTCTGCTGGAGTAATGTGTCAAAGTTAAACACCCAGAGCCTAACATGCCACTAACTCGATAATTGTGGAGACTTACCGGAAACGTCTCGGTCGAACGGGAAAGAACTATTGGCTATCAGCTGTATAAATATTGTTTACCAAGTGAAGGGAATGCGGAAGTGGGCGGTACCTCTGTAGCGCAATACTACGGTGGCCGAAAAGTGTTTTACCTCTATGGTCGGCTACATATGCAAATTAGGCGTTAACTAGTTCACTATAAAGTACTATCTAATGTATTATCTTATCTTAATTAAACTGGGCTAATTTGCATGCAGTTACCAAGGCATTGCAGGTTAAAAGGATACAACAAAAAACAAACAAAAAAACATATCACCTCACAACTTCCCCAGATAGTTACTTACGTCAAGTCAGTATTTTCCCCTGAAATGTGTAAATGCAGATTTGCTTTAAATCTATAGATACATTCAGACATGGTAATAAAACGAACACCATTTATATGTATTTTTTGGAAGTTTTCTTTCCATTAGATCAGGGGTGGGGAACCTTTTTCCTCTCGAGGGCCATTTAAATGTTTTCAACATCCTCCGAGGGCCATATAATGATTGACCTCTGCTTAAAAAAACTAAAATCACAGCCCATTCATTTGGCCTTTCTTTCATGCTGTGCAAAGAAAAAGCAACCTCTGAATCCAGATATCTTACCATGACTTGCGCATGCATGCACGTGCACGGTGTGGCATGACCACCACAACAGAAAGATGTGGACACAAGATGTGTGATCCTTATATGTTCAAAGTAACCAAATGCTTCTCATTTGGTTAGATGTGCTGTTTGCCTCTATCTACTCTACTTCAAGGCCACAGCTGCTATTATGTTGAGACTCACACATAGTCACACGAGAACTTGCCTTTCCTGAGATCTACAGCTCAAGGCCAGGTGTCTAATAACAATGTGACCGTGTGAAGACAGATTTCTTACCTTCTCACCCATTTCTTGTATATAAGCCTTGCTACTATATTGAACTGCGCACACTCGCGCAGACTATTCTATACTCTGTGAGACCTGTGCCTATATTTTATTGTATCTAATGTGTATTTGAAGCTTCAAATAAAATCACCAGAAAGACAACTCTGTCTGATTCACCATTTATTTGTTTTTGATCACTCTGACTTGTACTCTACAGTATTGGTAAAAAGGCTTTCCATAACAATTGGCGCTGCGAGCAGGGTCTCTGCAAGTTCGATTGGGGACACCTACGGACGCTGGTGGTGGCATGCTCCAGGATCCGCGGATCCTCCTCTACCCCGACAGAAACCGTATGGGACGAGAGGACCAGCGCCGGGGGTGGAACTGATTGACTTCACGAGATCCAACGGACTTAAAAAGGCTTTTCAATACTGGGTGAGAAGTGCAGTGTCTAAATTGTTTAAAGTTAAACGTAATTAAACTCCATGACATTTATGAGAGGGACTGCTCGAAAGTAGGGTTTATCCCGTCGTAGATCGTGGGTTTACGATCAGTTTTTGCGTGATTTGTACTGAGAAACAAATATCACATCATCGACGGATGAAAAAAAAGAAAGGTGTTTAAACACCCCTTGTTTTGTCAGGGGTGGTTTAGTAACATTTAGAGACTTTGTCATGGGAGCAAAGCAAGGTAGGGGGTTTGTACTCCCCCCTCCTGAGGGTCCGATTGTGGATGTCATGAGAGTAAAATATGGTGAGGACAGTCTGTCTAAATTAAATATATGGACGGAAATGTTTGGATTTCCAAAGGGAGGTTTTTGAGTAAATTAAAAATCAAGAACCTAAAGAATAAATTACAAGAAGAAGTAGAAATAAATATAAAGTTAAAGTAAAAGACTTATATAGAAAACTGGACACTCACAGAAAGTGTACTAAAAAAAAAGGGTTTATAATAAATACTGGGAGGATTAAGCAGAATGCCGTGAAAGAAGGCAGTTGGCCTTGGGGCATTAAATAAAATATTAAGGTTGAAGATGAATGTGAAGAAAATAAGGAAAATAAATTATTTCCAAAACCATGTAAACCCCAGACATCTCTGTGTTCTTCCATTGCAGGCCTGAATGACCTCTCCTCGACTGGGTATCCTTTCCCTCCCCCGGGGTACAACCCTGGCAATCCAGCTGGGCCACCTCAACCACCTCCACCGCCACTACAAGTCCCAGCCATGCAGTCAACAGACTCCCCGTAAGCTCGTCCACCCCAAGTAGATGGGGACAACAGCGGGATAAACAAACCCAAGCCCAAGCCAGTAATGCCTTTCTCAACGGACTCACAGACACAGCGCAAGGTACGCAGAATGCTGGCCGGTCACAATACCGAGGGAGAGGCAGAAGAGGTTTTCCGAGGCAGAGGACGAGAAGCAAGACCTTCATTTGACGAAAGATGTTTCAAGTGTGGCAGTGTTGAACATTGGATTATGGGACTGCTCACAGAACACTGGCAGTGGAGGCAGAGGGGGACAGCAAGGACGGGGCCATCATTCACAATCAGAATGACCTACACCAGATGGGGAGGAAGGGGCCCGATCGAGCGAGACGGAAATTCAGCGAGCAGCATTGAACCAGGGGAGTGATACAGACACACACATCATGCTATTGAGTAATTGAGACATGCCTGTGGTTAAAGAGGGTATATATATTTGAAATATGACAGTGAAACAGCATTTGAGAAATGTCCCACACTAACTTTAGCTATCATGGGTGTTGATGTTATATTTTTTTTGGTTGATTCTGGGGCTACACATTCTATAGTAAAAAGGGAAGATTTGCCTGATTGCAAATTTAGTGGTAGATTTATGCACTCAATAGGAGCGGCTGGGGTGACTGTAAAGGAGAAGTTTTTGTATCACTTCACAGTAGAGATAACGGTGATGATAGTCAATCCATTTCCCACATCAGTCAAAAACAGTTTCTTTTATCCTCCGTCTGCCTAATACATTTACTGGGCAGAGATCTGAAACTCCGGTTCGGCTTAGATCTTATTTTTCCACAAATGAGGGTTTTAAAGTCCGGCAGCCATCTCCTACGATGGTTCAAAAACTGGCATTTGATGATAAAGAACTGTGTGAATGTGTATCAAATGGCTGCTGACATATCCTGATTCTCAGGTGTTGTTGCGGTTTGACTGATCAACGTGTTTTCCACCTGCGGTGTTCATGGAAGTTTTTTTTTTGCATTGTACTAACGTTGTTGATGATCCGTGTAAATGCTATGATGAGAGTTTTCTGTTAGAATGTGTGAATGAGGAGCTCATGCTTAAAACTATGCTTGGAGTTTGCTGCACAGCTGGTTCCTGTTGCACTCACACCCAAACTGTGTCAAATCCCAGGGGCGGTCCACACATTTCACTAGCCAGGGGCCCCACTGATAGATAGAGGGATTTGGGTCCAATCGTTAAAGATTGGGAGTCAGTCACTGATTGGGCACCTACACACACAGAATGTGTCACGTGACGTGTATCAAATGAAAATGTGCACGAACGTAGCCGTTCTGCGCACATTGCTGTTGGTTGTGGATGATGAGGTAATTCTCATATCTCTGAGCTTCCTGCCGCGCTTTCAGATGTGCCATACTCACTCTGGGCAGCTCACAGATATGACGTAGGGTTAATGTCCACGTTCCGTTCAAATCAACCCCCGTACCCATTGAAACGTGAAGCTGTTGATGGCATTTGGCCAGTGTTTACCTCTCTGCTTAAACAAGGGGTAATTATTCCGTGTAACGATTCCGGTACGCACTCCAGTGTTTCCTGTCAAAAAGATCAGAGACAAAACCTCCTGACGAGTGGAGATTTGTCCAGGATTTACAGTAAATGCAGCTGTGCATGCACGCTCGTCCCAAATCCTTATCTGATTATTTCCCAAGTTCCAGTCTCTGCATTATTTTTTTACTGTCATAAGATCTCTCAAATGCATTTTTCAGTGTTCCTGTATACAAAGCAGCCTGTCCTCCTACAAAAAACGACCAAATAGGTCGATTGTTTTCCGACCCAAATACGACCCATAGCCACGTTTTAAAGTGTAGCACCTCTAGTGGTCGTGTAAGAAACAACATGCTCCCGTCTATTCATTTCTTGCAGCAGTTTATTACGACCTATTGTCATGTTTTAAATTTAGCAACTCCTGGCGGATCGTAATCCCGTGAACTTTAACCTTGGGCATCAATAAAAGTGCGACGAGTGGAAGAAGAAGAAGAAGAAGAAGAAGAAGAAGAAGAAGAAGAAGAAGAAGAAGAAGAAGAAGAAGAAGAAGAAGAAGAAGAAGAAGAAGAAGAAGAAGAAGAAGAAGAAGAAGAAGAAGAAGAAGAAGAAGAATTGTTAAAGAGCGTCACAGCTGTACAAGTGGTAAATCTGATTTCTGTATTTCATTTGATTTGTTTACGCTTTTAATTAATCCTGTCGTTTGTCTACAAATCATGTTTAACCACGATATTTCAGTTTTACGTTTTAGGGCTGGCCCGTGGCATAGGCAGTATATGCGAATGCTTGTTGTTAGCAATAGCATGGTTGCAAAGGTTAGCACTTAGCTTAGGTACAGATGCGCTAACGGATATGTATTGCAATATAAGAAGGTTCTTCTGCAACAAGTTGGAGGGAGAGTTTTCTCCTTCGCACAAAAGGAGCTAAAATCTTGCCTAAAAACAAAACCCTTTGTAGCACGTGACATAAAACATAACAATGGCAAAAGTATGTATATTCAGCCAGACCAGGACATGATATGACCTTAAACAATGCGAAAGGAAATGGCATTTTAATAATAATAATAATAATAATAATAATAATAGACATTTACATGGCGTTTTTTATAATGCACACACTTTTTTTTCTTCTAAATGTCACCTAACATGTTGCATTAATGCTAGTTAAGGTAAGTTCAACACTTTAATATAATCAGGTCATAGTAGTTTTACTACTTTAAACATTCGCTAATTCAACTTAAGTTTTGTGAAGCCATCACATCTAGTTAAAAAGAGAAATATATTTCCCTGTAATTACTGATTTACCTGGGACTTGATTGACATTGGTGCCTGTAGTTTTATTTAGACAAATGTTTATTTATGAAACAACAATTAAAAGACATGGTAGCACAACTAATCTGAGTTAATCTGTTTGTTATTTTTCAGGTCATCCATCAATTCAATTATTTGAAATAGCCTATTATCATAAAAAAATCAACGGTTCTTTTCAGAGCCATATTCTTCTTCCTACTCTCTTTCACCCCTCTCATTTTCTTGTCTTTTGTTTTGTTTTTCTCCCTCGCTGTATGTCAGTTCATCCTTTGTTTGTTGTTGCCCTTTTTACCCTCACTTAAAAATGGCATCCAAGCAACTGAATGAATGGCTAGAGGCGGGGAAAGCCCTCGCAGATGAGTTGGCAAATAAGGCAAGTACAACATTATCCAAATATGTATTATAACATTTACTCAAATGATAAAAGACACACACATTACAAAGATTTGTGTGCAACAATTAAGGGGTATATCTAATCTCTTTTATATATTAATATACCAAAGAAACCGAAGAAACCGAAGAAACCAAAGAAAATAACGCAAGGATCAAATATGTCCTGGAGGAAGAGGGACCTGGATGGGAACATTCTACCCCAACATTGGAATAAGAATCGATCTGGTCTGTACAATATCATCTAGTTCTAGTGTTTCATTAAGTTTTAATGTCGTTGGTCTTCAATAATGTTTCCTATATCATCGTACTTTGTTTATGCAGTTAAACCTTCCAGCTCTCTGGAGTCCCCAGAGGTCGAGGAGACACATGAGATTCCTCTACAGGTCCCAAGTCTTGGTATGCACAATGAATTCTTAAATTATCCTTCAACTTGAAATGTAGCTAATTGTTTATAGTATGTAATCGCTGTGTTCATGATACATTTTAAAGTGAAAAGCCATCAACAAGTCCTCCAACTAATACGACCAAATAGGTCGATTGTTTTCCGACCCAAATATGTATAAGTATGGAATATCTTTTTTTAATTAAACTAAATTCCATGATTTGTTTTATATTTTGTTATTTTAGATCAACATCTTCTCACACTGAGAAACCTGTTGGGTTCTCTCACTGTCCCTGCATCATCAGAAGAAACACCCACTGTAACAACATGGACCCAAAGACAGTTGAAACGTGAACAAAAATTCAGAGCTGCAATGCCAGAGCTCCTTAATTTGAAATTGGCTGCAGAGATTGTCACTAAACGTCCCTGTCTCCAATGCAAAACTGCTGATGCTGTGGTCCGGTGCTTGGACTGTGTTCCACCAGGAACTCCCTTTCTTTGTCCGGCATGTGACCCAATTATCCATGGCAAAAATGTCTTCCATGACAGGGAAGCCATGATTGATGGGTTTTACAGACCTATTCCTCCCACATCCTTAGTGGTTGTGGATGAAAGTGGCCAATATGGACTCTGTGAACAAGGTGGGTTCAAATAGTTTATTACATATTCCCTTACCATGGTTTCCTAATGTGCACTACATATACAGCGGCATCATTTTCACCATGTCGGAAGTTTGCTTTAACTATTCAAATGTCTCAATTTGTATTGACTACATGTCCTAACATGCATATGAATCTCTGAAATTGTCTTTGCTACAGTGTGTCTGCTTCCAATTCCTCCACCATCCCAAATCTGCTTCTGTGGTCCAAGCCAAGATTTCACCATCATCCCAGGAAAGCAGACCGTGTTGGTGACTATCAATGGTTTGTTGCCACCAGAAGACGATGTGGTCAAGCAAAAATACAGGATTACTATTATACTTTTGTCCTGCGTTGCATAGATACCTGTCAAATTGCACATTTATATTTTTTCTCAGGTCCATACAACGTTTGCCTGCCTTCTGTGTGCTGTCCAACTTGTTCCACCAAATGGTCCCCGAGCATAGGTGACTTGCTTGGATACAAATACTGGCCAGCAACCGACAGCTGCAAAATTATTTTTAAGTTTGATGTGTTCACATCATTCGAGCAAATGAAATTGGCCAGCCCAGCATTATCCCAGCAAGTATTTATAAAAATGCTTGAACATCGATCGTTCTCCACAGGAAGGGTAAGAATAAAATGTGGTTTTCAAGATTTTTGAATACCAAACTTTTAATTAACAAAATGAATACCATTCTTGTTTCCAGACAGGCAGAATCTGTAGCGATACCTTCCACAGAGTCTTTCGGGAGTTTGCCTTCTGTAATTACAGACAAGAAGATCTGTGCCTGGTGGAGCCCTTTAAATGCCCAGCATGCACACCTGACATGCTGGCTATTGCTGTAGATGGCAATAGAAAGCATTATCGCTTCAAGAAGTCCAGAGGGTCAGTGAAATCATATTCTCATTTTAGTTGTTGTTTTATTGACTAAGCTGAATGTCTTTGCTGAAATGTTTAACTTTCCCCAACTTTCCAATTTTTTTATTTATTTTTATTTTCCAAAGTTTGTAGACCATCAGAAAACAATAGTTGGTTTGTAATTACACATAATTATATCAATCCAATTCATAAACATTATTGTATATGACGCCTGTAAAGTTAGCTCAACTTTAAAATGTTAAATGGTTGACGTTAGTTGGATATGTTGGAGCTAAGAACCAGCTTTGGATATAATCGCTTCATGATAAATGTATTAAATTGTCCAGGAACCTTTTTCTCTGCCTTCCTCTGCCCTATTCCATGCCCAGCAATATAAAGGATGTACTTTTATTTGTACCTTTCTACAAGAAGTCAGTAAACTTTTCACTAATGTTAAATAATGGTGACAAAAGGCTTTACACAAAATTACAGATCAAATTCACAAAGGCCTTTTCCACATTTATGAAAAATTGATAGCAAAAGCAAATTGATTTTGTCATTACAGGTACTGGCCTTATTTGGAGAAGATGGCAGCAAAGTTGCCAGAGCTCCAACCACTTACAGAGATGAAACCTTTTCTCTCTGTAATGCACGCCAAGGCCCACACAGGCAAATGCGAGGTACAGTATGCAAGTTAAACATTTGTGTGACTAGATTCAAATGTTTTAGAAATTGTAGTGCACATAAGAATATCATGTAGTATATTCTATTCAAGCCTGTGGAATAATTGTAATAGTTACAAATGTTGACAAAATTGTTACAAAACAGACTGTCACAAGGATAGGCTTCCAAAACCCATTATGTTGTTTTAGTAAATATATCCGCACTGTAGAAATAATGAATGAACAGAGCTTCAAATAACTGCAGTTGTGACATTGTAGCTCAAAGCATAATTCAATCTCAGAACATTTTAACTTTCTGAAATTTCTCCTGACACTGATGTTAACTAAAGATGTACAGTACAAGAAATTATAATATTGAACTAAATATCTAGATCTCATTGTTTATGATTCTGAGCAGGTGAAGTGGGGTGGCAGAAGCCAGGAAGGTGCTGGAAATACTGTTGGCGAGGAAGTGGAACAGGTTAACAGCTTCCTCTCAAGGGCAGCTCTGACAACAAAATACATGACCAAATCAGGTTGGTAGAGGAAAACAAATTGTTTTAAGCAGTGCCACATTGTAAAGCTGATGTGAATTCTCATGTTTTTGTGTTTACAGCTAGAGCAGATATGATAACCGTGCTGGCTATGCTATGGAACCACAGGAAGGTGGAGAATCTCCACAAGACACTCTCAAAGAGATTTGTCAAAGTAAGACGTCCATGCTGCATTTCAAAATGTACATTAAGAATATCTGAGTTTCTTGTTGTAGTAATTTAACACCATCCTTAGCTACATGTTGTTGAATAAAATATATTCTGCAATAATTTCATTATGATGGTGCTGCCATAGCACACTGCTCTGCCAAGAGAGTCTCTGTTCTGTTGTTTGTAATTAAGCACTATAGGTTGATTCATCTGAATTTCTGTATAATAATAATCATGTTAATCCTGCTTGATCTTTTAAAAAAAAGAAAAGGGACTCTAAGGTGATACTTGCCAACCTTGAAGAGAAGGTGTTTAGCATTTCATGTTGTCTGGTCAGTTAATGTTCATAAAGGAATTCAGTAAAAAACAACCTTCTCAACCAACTGGAACGCATATTCACTTTCTGCTTTTAAACATTCTAACCAGACTACACAGAGAGCACAAACTGAAGTGGACAATCTTGAGAGTCTCAAGCAAGAGCTGAACATCTCCCTGGAGGACACGGAGCAGTGGGTGTTGGAGGTCAAGCAATGGGCAGCCACTGGTATGTTATATGATCACTGTGGTATAGATTTGGTTCCATATTTCCAAACATTTGGCTTCATGTTTTATGATTATACCTGGTTGTTTCTGTTTTCAAGAGAAACATGGAGGCCAGAGCAGCCAGGAGGAGCTCCAGAGAGAAATAGATGACATTATTTATTCCCTCCGAAGAAAGAAACACGACCTCTATCGACAAAATGGTATTTATTATTACGTTATCTAGAAACAATATTTGTTTCTTGTTGTTGTTATTGTTAGTATTATTATTATTTTTACTTTACAGACAGCAACCAAACAAGGCAACGCAAACGGAGAAGACTGACAGAGCTCAAGAATAAACTCAGAGAGAGGTTACTGCAGTACAACACCATTGATACCTGTACAGAGACAATTGACACAGAAGCAGCATGCAGTCTGTCTGAGGATGTCATTCTGCCCTGGGAGATGGTAAGAAACAACTTGTTTTTGTTTGCCCTAGATATTCCATAAATGCAGTTGTAGTACTAGAATACAATCACCAATGTAACACAGAGCTGTCAACATAGGTGTCACAAATCATCATGATCACAACAAAGCATTTTGAAATAATTATATTGAAAGGTCTGTATGATGTTGCCCTATCAAGTCTTAATAATCATGCTATAGTCTCACTGGGACAGGCACATCTATGGAAACAGTAAAACCCTTCCTGACCACCCTGAACTGCATACTAATGTTGAATCTCAAGACATACTGAATGTAATTCTGCCAACATAGACAGAATTGAAAAAATTCAGCAAGCGGCGAGGTTGGACATTTTTTACCAGATTTCAAGGTTTTGGGCAATTTAAGTTAAAAAGATTGAATGCAAACGGATATTATTTGTTTTATTAGCCTTACCATTGTGTTTGTGTTGTCATATTTTGTGTTTTTTCCATTATGGTGGTGAACCTGCGCACAAAGAGGCGACTTTTTGACCAGGTTATGCTGGTCAGGCGTATGGAAGAGGAGAAAGTCATCATTGTGAAGGAGATGACCCAGCATTGTCAAAATCTGAGGCAGGCACTGGACAAACTGGACCACCTCCTTCATCAGACAAAAGACGACATCAGGAACCAAAGTATGTTCCACAAATACCGATTTATAACATTTGCCACTGCCCCTTCTGGTCAGTGTCAAACGTCTGTCACTGAATAGCATCTGTAATGATTGCATTTTTTCTGAATCACAAATCTTTTTAGCTAATATACAGCCTCGGAGTTAAACATTAAAATTGCTTATATGGAACCAACATCAATGCTAATTAAAAGTTGCCTTACATAGACTGTCATTTTGTCTTTTTATTTTAGTTTCTCCAAGCGATATAACAGAAGAGGGATACAGGGGACTGCACTGCTGTCTTTTATACCATCAATATCTTCTGGAGCAGAAACTGAGCAGAGTCACCAGCACCTACAGCTGTATTGGCACGGACTCGTCTTTTCTCATGATGGAGGAAGACATTGAAGACGTTGATGAAGACAACGAACAGGACGGTGATGAGGACAACGAACACGACGGTGATGAGGACAACAAACAGGAAGGTGATGAGGACAACGAACAGGACGGTGATGAGGATAACAAACAGGAAGGTGATGAGGACAACAAACAGGACAACGAACAGGACTTAACAAGTCTATTGTATTGTGTTGTATGCATGTGAACGTATTAAAACGAGTATTACGATTTAATGGCTTGTTTATTACCTTTTTTTTGTATTATCCTGCTTTGCATTTACTATGTCTGGTATTCAACTAAATGCCATTAGCAGTTATCAGTCACCTTCGGATCCGAGTTACCTCGAGGGCCGGAGGTTCCCCACCCCTGGTATAAGGTTTTGGTGATTACCCTTATTATCATGATCTGTTTAATTAACCAATGCTTACATCCAAAGAATGTGTCTAGATTTTACTCCTACAGACACACACTAACAATACAAATGGACCTAAGTAATACACTCACCGGCCACTTAATTAGGTACACCTTGCTAGGATGGGTTGGACCCCCATCTGCTTTCAGAACTGCATTAAGTCTTCATGGCATAGATTAAACAAGGTAGGCTACTGGAAACATTCCTCAGAGATTTTGCTCAATATTGACCTGATCGCATCACGCAGTTGCTGCAGATTTGTCAGCTGCACATCCATGACGCAAATCTCTGGTTCCACCACATCCCAATGGTGCTCTGTAGGATTTGGATCTGGTGACAGTGGAGGCCATTTGAGTAAAAGTCATTGTCATGTTCAAAACCAGTTGGAGAATATTTGAGCTTTGTGACACGGTGAGTTATCCTGCTGGAAGTAGCCATCAGAAGATTGGTACACTGTTGTCATAAAGGCATGGACATGGTCAGCACAACCCGGTATCAAGGCAAGACGTGAACATGTGACGATTTACCATGCTGGGAGACGTGAAGATGTCACGATGTTGTCCCTTCAAACGTGACAATTACACAGTATTGTTAACATGGCCCAACCAGTGGAGATATACCCGGAAATGCCAAGCAAATGCTACCCCGACGGTCGGTTGTTATTATTATCAATATTAATAAAATAATGATTTAATTTGTAATAGTCACACTCGATTTCGCCGATTTTCTTGATTTGCTGGTCGACACCTCTTTTAGCAGAAACAAAGGCTACATTAATTTATTAAATCGATGTTAATCTGTGGATGTGGAATTAACGGACGTGACGTTGTGCGTTTGTGTTACCAGGCAACAGCTTCGGTTCATGTTAATTTACAAACTCTTCAACTCGAACAGTAGTCATATTTAAAAACATTTTATATGGCCTCACGAAATACTTTAATGTAAATTTAAATGTGAAGGAATGTGTGTGTATAACAAAATACATCTGTCAAAAACAATACCGGAAACAGACCTCAGCTCGGTGATTCGATGGTTTAGCCGCAATGCACGTTGGGAAATGGTGTTTATGCGATGTGAAATCCGAAAACATTAAAATAATACTTTATTCTGAGTGTGCTTGCTTTTCTCTTTGAATGTCATCACATAACGGCATTGTAATACACGGTTCGGCTGCATTACATATTACATATCTGCCGTAGTTCTCTATTTATACAGCCCTGATGAGAAGACTTCTAGACAAACAGGAGAACTGCTGCCAAAACTGAAAACGTGAAGTGGATCATACATATATCAGCAATTAAACAACATCTTAGATTTATTTTTCACACAATACGTCTCCTTGCAGTATCAACACTAATTCGGCTGACTTTTATATTTGATCCAATTGGTAGACAGGCTGTGCACCATAAAGGTGCACAGCTGATATAAAGGGACACCTAGTGGTTAAAGCACGTTATTGAATTTTATTATTATTATTATTATTAAACAGAATAAGAGACCTGACAGGTGATGGTCAGACGTTGACCTGGCTGCACAGTCACAGAGGCTGGCTGTGTCAACTGTTCACACTTCACACCTGTACAAATAAAAAAAATGTTATATGACAGATGATCCTGTTAAACAGCAGTATAATAAGTGTTGACTCACTTCCAGCAGCAGCAGCAGCAGCAGCAGCAGCAGAGAACATGATGATGATGATGATGACTCTGAGAAGACGTGAGCTCCTGATCCCCTTTAATTTCCACTGACAGTCTCATGTGAAGGCCTTATAACTGTATCACAATGGATATTACTGAGTTTGTATAGAACCAAACACATTGCATATTAGTATGAGTCGGACTGGAGATAGAAAATGGAGCTTGTTATTGTTACTTTTACAAGAATACAATCACCTGTGTTTAAAGAGTCTAGAATCAACTTTGTGTACTTTATTTTTGCAAAAACAGATAATTAACATCTGGAGCTCTTTTAATGTCCTTTTTGATTATTGTTACACCAGGTCTTGTCAAAACCTTTATTCCATATTCAATATCCATTACTTAACAAAACAGCACACCTGAAATGTATATTTAAATACTTTATTAAGGGCAGTGAATTAATAGTTTCTGTATGTTTTTCAAATCAGTGTTATAAGTGTCATAGACACATAATTACATTGCTATTATTATCCTTAAAATATATGTAAAACAAAACCACTTATGATCTTTTTATTTGAGTCGTTTACTAATGACAGTTAATTCTGTTTTTGCTATTGATGGTTTAATTTTTGTGAAAAATAATACAATTCAATAACGTGCTTTAACCACTAGGTGTCCCTTTCTATCAGAAAAATAAATCTAAGATCAGTAATGTGTTGCTTAAAATATACTTCTGCATGCACCCCCTGGCCAACTTGTGGCCCCACGCAAAGTTATATGATGAGGCCCTGTGTGTAGCGAACGTCGACTCAGCACACTGAGCTCTGATTGGTCACCAGGCGGTGCTTTCACTGAGTTGATCTCTTATCCTGGAACCTTTCATATGGTGTGTGTGTGAGAGCGTTTCATATGTATATATTGTTGGCGAAATATTTTCAAGGCCAATAACTTTGAGCCAGTTGATCAGTTTTGTCCTGACTGAGCGCAGGCACCTGTATCCTTGGCTGCTGTGCTCTCAGTGTTTTGTCTCCCTGTTCCTGCCTGTTGGCGTCAGCTGATAGAGGTGTTGGTTTTATCTCGTTATGCACAATGTTGATTCTTCTCTCAGAACTAGCTACATATGGGTCTGGGGTAGAGATCTTCAGAATTGGTTTGGAATCTTTTGTGTCAATTCGTGTCACACAACATGTCTTGTGAATAAACCATCAGTGTTTGCCATCAAAGTTCCTGCTCTCCTCGTGTCTCTCTGAGTCCAGTTTCCATTGCTTCAGAAGTTTCCATCGCATATGAGAGATTTGTACATGTTTGTAAATGATTTTGGTTTCAGTGTGTTTCACGTGTGAACAGTATTTCTGAATAATGTCCCTAACGGCCCCCCATAGACATAATCCAAAAATAAATGTGAATATTTTTTTGTATTATCGCCAAGAATTGAAGTTGAAGTGCAGCTTGAATATATAGGATATAAAAATGACAAGTACAGTAAGAAAGAAAGTGATATGAGTGACATGTTTTATTATTTGATTACCCTTCATTTTCTCTGTTGATAAGATGTTATGGAATGAAATACAATGTCAGATTAGGGGAAAGTTAGGGGAGTGCATGTTAATGTGTCTGGAGGTGGCGTGTTCCAAAAGTGTTTGGGTTTGTCTGCCGTGAGTGGGCTGCATTCCAATTCAAATTGCCGCCTGTACAATGTATGCACCAGTCTGTGATATGCCGATGTGCAGGCCCGCTCCTCCCTACACGCCGATCACACAGACTGCGTCTGCCTCTCGCCCTCATCTTGTGGAGGGAGCCTCATCTGATGCACAAATGCGGCGCAATTGAGTGCGCCACAGTTTCTGCTGCGAGGCTCCACTAGCTGTAATCGGCTTGGTGTGTCCGGGGTTTACACACCACCACCACCCCCAGTCGACGCTCGCGAGGGCCTCATCACATCACAGCCCTGCCGATGTGATATAATGTATAGGACCTTTTTCCTCATGGGTGTCATTCAACAGACCAAACATGACAGTTTTAGAGAATGAGTTTGTATGGATACACTTAAAACATATTTGTATTTGTCTTGGCTTCAGCTCACTGATAACATAAGAACACAAATAGGCACGGCACTTACATAGATGTTTTTTTAAATATGTATTTTATTACTCCAATGTAGAAAAACAAAAGTCAGGCATATTTAATTAGGAAAGTTTTCCTTTGGCTCCCAGGAATGTTTCCACTTCGCCCCACTGTAAAACAGAAACACAGCAAAAAGTATTGCTTTTTTTCAACTGTTTGGAATATGTAGTTCTACAGTATGTTGACAATGCTATTTCAAATGAGAAGATACACTAAGTCACTTAAAAATATCGTGATGAAAGTGCAGTATAATATATATATTTATATATACACAGGGTTCTTACACCTTTTCCAAAGTCAAATTCAAGCACTTTTCAAGCATTTTCAAGGTGCATTTTCCAGCTTTTCAAGCATCTTACAGCTGTTGTAAATTACATATTTATATACACATACTCAAATGATTATTTCCCTACCTCACATTAAATCAGATGTTCTTTATGCTATAAACAACCAAATGTGTGTTTCGTGATAGCATTCTACACGAGGATGAAAAATTAAAGAAAAGAAAAGTAAGTTTAATATTTCAAAATGAGTGATCTGTACGTAGACTGGGCCTCCCATATAACCTGGCTGAGCCAATATAAAACAATCAGCCAAATAACTTTTCAATACATTATTGATTACTATTTTTGAGGTACTTTTAGGTTGGCAGTAAACATAAGTCAGAAGTACATGGTGTACTTTGACTCCACTGCATGTATTTAATACCTTCAGTTACTTCACAGATGTGGATGAATGATGTGAAATCTAATCAAGTGTTAAATCAGACTTTAGTTCCACCTGGAGTAAATCCACCAGCTACCCTGCAGTACACAAAGTACTTCAGACTAGCTGCACCTTCACCAGCTTTGAGAACACTTTCATGATCAATCATTATAAAACATATCATATCTATTATTCTGAAATGGACCAATCTGCACAACGACTACTTTTACTGTCGCTACTTTCACTATATTTTGATGAGAATACTTTTCTACTTTTACTTGAGGAACATTTTGAATGCAGGACTTTTACTGTAACAGAGTATTCCTACACTCTGGTACTTCTACTTTTAAGTAGAAGTACAATACCTGAGTACTTACTTTTACTCAAGAACAAGATCTGAGTACTTCTACTTTTACTCAAGTACAAGATCTGAGTACTTCTACTTTTACTCAAGAACAAGATCTGAGTACTTCTACTTTTACTCAAGTACAAGATCTGAGTACTTCTACTCAAGTAAACAACTGCCTCCAAGACAGCACACAGCAATAATACTACTTACTAACTATACTAATAGTATAATTGTTAAGAACAAATGTAACAAGTAAGTAATTACAAAAGAGATCAAATACCATCCAGCATTACATATCAATCATTTAACCTTTAGTGATATTGATCAAGGATAAACTCAGTTGTATATTGTATTTTAATTTATATTCCAATGTAAGCTACTTCCCTGCTTATGTGTTACAACCAGACAGCGTTTCTAGGGCGCAATTTTCATTTCATTTCAAACCTTTATTTAACCAGATTGGTCCCATTGAGATCATAGATCTCTTTTTCAAGGGAGACCTGCGATGTCTGAATGATGAAGGGCAGAGAACTTGGATGTCTTACTTTATGGCACAATCGCTGTCTGATAGAGCCATTGATGACATGGCTCCCCACCCCCATGTGATCAACTAAATTGAATTTACTGCTGAGGAACCCAAAATGTTTAAGTTAGTGATCTCAGGGTTGATGAAGTTGGTTGGTAAGACTACTTTCTGGCCCCTGTTCTGCCAGCCCCACCAGCTACACTGAAGGAAACTTCAGATTAGATACATACCATCCAGAGCAAGACTGCCACTGCACCAACACCTCGGCATGGCCCTGAGTAAAGAAAGACAGATTTTAGGTAAACTTTTTTTTTTTTCAAATGTCATATATGTAAATACGAAAAGTCCAGAGAAATCAAATGATAATTTGAAATAATAGTAGGTACGATTAACTCAAACATATGAAGGACTGTAACATAGTCAATAGCATTTTCCCCATCAGTTTAATATTTTGGAATACTATTATTATTTAAAAAGATATTTTCACTGCCAAGAATTCACCTACAAATGATTACAAGAAAACATGTAATATACAAATAAATGGCTGGACATGATGCATTAATGCGACATGAAGCATTACACAAGTACCTCAACCTTAAATTAATAATAATTTATTGTTACTGTAATTTCAATATTTAGATTAGCAGTCATGCTTAAGACTGAAACACTCCTTTTAAACAAAGTATACGAAAATCCAATAAGATAAGATAAGACTTGGTTCCACGGAAGCATTATTGTCAGTTTATTTCTTATTTTAAAATATTTTCTAAACAAACCTCCCTGATTCTTTCCCTCAGTAGTTTTTTGTAGGGGAAAGTGGCTGACCCTTGATGAATGGGACATTCTGCAAGGAATTAAAAGATGGTAATAGGTTGAAGTTCAGCAATAACCCCCTAAACATTGCCTAACATCACATTGTGCTCAATTAAACTATTCAAAATGGCACTGAGACTTTTGATACTGCAAAGTCTTAAACAAAACAAAAGGTGGCGTATTCTAATTGAGTCAGGCTGGAGGAGAGAGCAGGAGTCAGGCCGGAGGAGAGAGGAGGAGTCAGGCCGGAGGAGAGAGCAGGAGTCAGGCCGGAGGAGAGAGGTACAGACAAGGAATCTGATCCTGGGTCTGTGGCCATTTATGCCTGTGGTTCAACTGCCAAAGTCACTTTTGAGAAGAAAAAAAAGTAGAGGCATGGTGAATAAATGACCAAGTATAATCCATATACATTTATAATCTGAGTAATTACAGCTAAAAATGAAACTACAAATATTGATTGTTTTTTATGAATCAAGCATTTAAGACTTCAATGTTAGGATGAGAAAACCAGTGCAGCAATCCACCAATAGTTGTGCTGCTAAGCTTTTACGAAAAACATAGTCTCACAAAACGTAATGTTATTATTAGTATTGTTATCAGTATATAAGTAAGGGTGATTATTAGTTGATTCATTGTCAACTTTAAAATGATTGACCAGCTGTTTCTATAATTGCTTATTGTTTTGAGTAATCCTTTCAGTAAAAACATGTCATCATTAGATTCTCACATGTGAACAATTTATTTGTATTTTCCTTCTAGTTTAAAAGGTCCCATGTCATGGCCATTTCTACTGATCATAATTCCATTGTTGAGGTTTACTAGAATAGATTTATATTGATCAATGTTCCAAACTCACATTGGTTTCTCATACAGCGTCTCTGTGTATTCACTCTCTGTCCTAAACACTATATCACTATACTCAGGAAGTAAACAATGGAAAAAGAGAAATGTCCAACGAGGCGTTCTGGGGCAGCACAGACAGGTCTTCTCTGTGTTAGAGTTTTACTCGCTACAGGGTGTACTTTGAGGGTTAGTGACTCTGCAGACCGTTTACATGCAGAAAAAGCTACATAACACAAGGGGACGGGTGATAACCGGAAAAGCATGACATGGGCCCTTTAACTGACAAAACAAGACATAACGACATATTTGTACTACTTGGTAAAGAGTGATTCACATGTTTTTTTAAAACAAAATAACTGAGCAATTAATTTACAAAAAATGTTAAGCGATAAATTGCTTTTGACTTTTGGCTTAAAATATAGCATGTGGATTTTTATACTTTACCATTAAGAAGGCTTTCGTAAATCATCTTCATGGTAACAAGTGCATTGTTACCATCTTCTGTCTCAATTTGCCATGGACAGAGGCAATCGACCGCAAAACCATTTGTGCCTCTCTTGGCAAGAAGGAGGATGGGATGCCGCTCAAGAAGTTTCCATTTGTGGAGCTGGAACACAATGGACACAAAAAAAACAAGAAATATTGTTTACATAACAGCTCTAAACATTTTCACACACCTAAAGCTTTTACAACTCCATTTATTTTTGCACAAGTGAAAAATGCACTGATGTGATACGTATGCACATTGAGGAAGGCACCCCACCATTAACCAGGTGTGATTTTAGACCCATTTTAGGGGAGCCCCAAAAAACACCATGAAAAAAAGCTCAGGTTCACTTTTTGAGTTTTATTTACATGGGCATGGTTATTTTTATATGGGTCTATTTAACTCTCACATTCAGATATCTGAATAAGCTACATTTAGCTTTGAAATATGTCAGCAAGCTATAACCTATGTCATTTCAGGTTCAAAGTTCTGCATTAACTCAAAATATTGATGACTAAAGCACTTCAGATGAACACGGCTCAAAGTCAGAGACTCTGGTAAGCTAAATTAAAGTGCTTTTAAGGGCCTCTTTATTAATACAAACTCTTTCCAGGACTTGATTGTCTTTCAAGCACTATATTAATATTGGCTGGTTTTGGGCAGAGTTGAGCCAATGTTAATATATCTATATTCAGCAAACATTTTGTATATTTATTTATTTTTAATTTATTATTTAGATCTTTACATTTGATTCTGTGACATTCTTGGTTTTACCATTTATTCAAAATGTGTATGATATTTCATTTATTTTAGGAAACCATAGTCACATAATTCTGTGTTTGCCAACTGACATCTGCAAGAAAAAAAAATGTACCAGTAGATTTGTTGAGTCATAAACTTTGTTGACACTGTGGTTTTTTTGTTGCGTGGCCTTCCACTCCTGTGCAACCTTTTCCTTTTGCTTGGATAGTTTCTCCTTGTAGGGTTGGTTGGCACCACATTGCCTGCTGGCTACTCCTATTTTGTGTTTGCAAGTCTGGCACACTTTTTGAGTAGGCATCTGTAACAGAAACACAGATAAGGGAATAAAACAAATAAGAATACTATACTACAAATGTTTACAGGATTCATGTATTTTATTATGTCGTGAAAATCTTGTTAAAACAATGAACTCGTGTTTTTTTATCTTTTAGATAGGATGAACAAAAATCACAAGAGTAAGGGAAAAAAATGGTTATACAGAGTCAGTCACATGTTTAAAGTGACTGTTATCGACAACCCTAATCTGTCAATATCTGGTTGATCCAAAAGTTGATGCTCCATCATCACAGAACTAATACTAAAATCATCATTACCAGGGGTGTATTGCTAACTCTATAAGTTCCGCATGCGTGCACGCGCAGTTGTGGCTCGTTTTGAAGCTTATGTAACTACTGTCAATTAACACTCCAGCCAGAATCAACAAAGAATGGTCGTTTATTAAAAGTCTGCATTATTGAATAAATGTGGATTCTTACAGTAAATGCTGGACACAGCTGCTTGATAGTTTATAAAGTTCCTTCACTGATCACTTAACTAACTCCCTCCTGCTGAGGTACAAAGGTTACTATATAAAAAGTGTGCACATTTATTTAGTATCCTATCCATGTGAATATGTTTTAAGTGGGGGTGGATCTCACGTCCTCTAGGGGGGTCCGGAGGCCCCCGGGAAGTTAAATGCATCAATCTTGTGCACTTTGAGGGCAAAATTAACTAAATCTATGGATACATCTGTCAACACCCATATGAAACTTAACTGTATACATTTCAATAATTAAAAAAAGATAAGAATAATACTTTTTTTAATTTATCTTTGTGCATATGTAACTATTTACTCTTTAAAAAAAAAAAAGTATTATATATGTATTTGTTGTATGTCCAATAGCATGAATTGTAATGATTTCATCGATGTTTTACATTCATTCGATTTTCTTTAGGGTGCTGCGTGACGTTGAACCTGCGACATACAACCTGTGACCTATGAACCTGTATTTGTATGCTACCAATGGAGCTATTGAACCTAAGAACTTGAGGCCTGTTTCCGACTCCTATTGTGGAACATAATACAATAATATAAAAGTGTGCCTTGGAAATATGTGTTTCCATATATGGTGACCAAACTGTTTCAGACCCACTGAGATAACTTAGACTAAAGTTAACTGTGTAAACATTACATTACCTACATTAGCCTCTCAGCCTATCCGTTATCATAGCTAGCTAGCACCAGATGCTAACAACCATCCCCGTTTTAGGTGCCGGAGCGGTGTTCCGGCAGCATTATACCCCTGATGACTCTTCACTTAATACATAAATAGTATTTAATATAGTTATAAGAAATGTGACGTGTGATAACATTGGATAAAACCGCATGAACCGATGGATCACATAACTTCCATGCTCACATTAAACGTTAGCTGATTCTACTTTTGGCTAATTTAGCTTTGCTATCATTATTCCTAGGTAAACATAGTAATCTTAGTCACTGTACTAGACGACAAAATAAATCCCGACTACTCACCTTTATTAGCTTGTCTGTAGGAAATAAATGGATGTTGTCAGTGATGCAGTGACGAGTCCAAAAAACCCTGGTGAGTTAAGCATGCTTCTTCTTCTTCTTCTTCTTCTTTCTGTCTTCTTCTTCTCTCTTCTCTTCTTCTCTTCTTCTTCTTCTCTTCTTCTTCTCTCTTCTTCTTCTTCTCTTCTTTCTTTTTCTTCTTCTCTTCTTCTTCTTCTTCTTCTTCTTCTTCATTCTCTTCTTCTTCTCTTCTTCTTCTTCTTCTT